TGTGTGTGTGTGTGTGTGTGTGTGTGATTAAATGTATGTTTCAGGTGAGATATAGTGGAGTGACAGGCAGGAGCCTGGACTCAATCCTCTTAACATGCGCGCAGTGTCTTTAGAGGCGTTCTGAAGTCTCCTCTCCCTTTCTGAGCTGCACGCGCAAACATTTTCCCTTCAGCCTGTCACTCTCATTTAGTGCTACCATCACAGTTTCTTACTGGAGTGACTGGCAGCAGGACGGCCCGCATTAGCATTTTCACTGCCTTACCATCCAGAGTAACCGAAGCCGATGCAGCATGTGGGCAAAATTCACAATTCAGGTCCTGTCTCACTTGTGTAACATGCAACTTATAGAACTGGGTGATATTTCTTGTGATGATTTAAAAAATATATAACAATGCCTAGTAGATTAAATTACCTATCTATCTATCTATCCGTCCATCCATCAATCTATCATCTATCTATCTGTCTGTCCATCTGTCCTTCCTTTGAACTATAATCTATCTATCTGTATGTTTGTCCGTCCATCCATCAATCTATCATCTGTCTATCTGTTTGTCCATCCGTCTGTCCATCGATCTATCATCTATCTGTCCATCCGTTCATTGATCTATCATCTTATCCATCAGTCCGCCCATCCATCAATCTGTCATCTATGTTTGTCCGTCTGTCCATCAATCATATATCTGTTCATCCACCCGTCAATCTATCATCTATCTATCTGTCCATCTGTCCGTCCATCCATCGATCTATCATCTATCTGTCTGTCCATCTATCCACCCGTCAATCTATCATCTATCTATCTGTCCATCTGTCCGTCCATCCATCGATCTATCATCTATCTGTCCGTCCGTCTACCCATCCGTCCATCCACTGATCTATCATCTTGCCTATCTGTCTGTATCTGTCCGTCTGTCTATCTGTCTGTCTGTCTGTCTGTCTATCTGTCTGTCTGTCTGTCTGTCTGTCTGTCCGTCCGTCTGTCCGTCTGTCCGTCTGTCTGTCTGTCTGTGTCTGTCAGTCTGTCTATCTGTCCATCTGTGTCTGTCCATCTGTCCGTCCATCCGTCTATCCATCTATCCGTCTATCCGTCTGTCCGTCCGTCTGTCTGTCTGTCTATCCGTCTATCCATTTAAGGCTGTGAATTTGGCACATTCTAGCACATTTGCAAGTCATGAGGTAACTTCTATTGTTCCTGTTGTCTTATCCATTGCATCAGTCAGCCAGTGAGGTTTTATATATTCACAAAGCTTCCGTTGTACTCAGTGACACAGGTGCTGCAGATAAGACCACTGTGAGTTATCATTGTGCTGTACCACACCAAAGGCAGATGTTCTCGTATGTTGATGCTGGATACACACACAGAGCACAGATAAGATGAAGTCTGTCTGTGCTCCTGCTGCCTATAGCTAGAGGGAAGTTATGGGAAATAAGAATGATGTTCTTAGAAGGAGATATGTTACAATGTGAGCGAACAATACAGATTTTTGGAAAATATCATTCTTGGAAACAACAGTGAAGGGCCGTTTAAAACCGATTTTTCCATAAAATGGAAAATAAAGGTACAGCTGAAGTGCTTTTGAATCTGAGAGTTTCTTGGCAGCGCACACTGGGATTACAGATTTCTTTTTTTTTTCACCAGCAGCGCTCCAAATGTTTTTGTGAAGAAGTAAAACCTTTTAAGGTCTGTGAAAATAAGCAAAAGTGAATGTACACAGGTCAAATGACGTAACATAAATGGATCATGGGTAATAGATACAGGGAAAGCACAGCACACAACCTAAAATTAAACTTCTACTTAATACGCCTGGCCGTATTTAAACAGAGAGGACAAAATAAGAGAGAAAATTAACTGAGCTGGTTATTTTCAAATATAATGTATTTAAAACATTCTCAGTTTTTTTTTTTTTTAATTGTGAATATTAAAATAATTGTTTTATTTAACCCTTTACTGAAGTTTCAGTGATTCTTCCTTGCATATGTATATGAGCATTTATAAACAATATATTGCATCATCTCTTAAAAAATGTAAAAACGTTTTGTGGTAACTTTTCAAGTATTTGAATGGATGGATAGATAGATAGATAGATAGATAGATAGATAGATAGACAGACAGACAGACAGACAGAGACAGATAGATAGATAGACAGACAGACATACAGACAAAGACAGACAGACAGATAGTAATTCTTTGGCAATGTTATTCCCATGTAACTGATTTCTGTGCAGTGATTGGTCAAGGTCTGATCAAACTGTGTCCTGACAGGTGGCCCAGACAGATGGCCTCGTCCAATGGGCTGTGTCGATACGGCGCCCGCATCGATTGCTGCTGGGGTTGGACACGTGTCTCCTGGGGCCAGTGCCAGCGTGAGTAACTGCTGCTTTAGGGGTGAACAGTGCTGTGGGGGGCCAGCTAAGGGTGCTTCTATACTTCCATTATGCTGTAACCTTCTTTTAGCCACTTAACAACAGCACAGCAAGTCACCAGTTGTCATTTATGAAATTTTCATTTTCATACCTTAACAAAATTGAACAAAACCTCTATGGACAATATTCTGTGCTAAGTTTGGCATAATGTTTTACATACTGATTTACAGGATCCATTTGATTCCAACACAAACTGTAGAATGAATTGGTGACTTGTAATGCCCTCACTGAAGTGGTAGCTGCAAGGTCAGGTCACATGGCTGAAAATAAGCAAGACTACATCCCTGGACATAATGCGTCTGAATTTCATGCTAACTAACTGGGTTAGTCGTAAGAAAATACCTGCCAGTTGTCCGCTTTGTCTTTGAGATATTCTGCATGACACCCAATATTATGTGGTTCAGTCATTTGGAATAATTAAAAGGTACAATGAGCAGTTGCTGCAACAGCACCACATTCCTGCAGGATTAGTTTGAGGTCTAAAAAAGACATGGAAGTCGACTCATGTATTGAAAAAAAAACAAAGACTTAGAAAATGAAAGATTTTTGTACAATAATAGGAAAGCTTAGGGAAAAAAAAATAAATAAAGAAAAGTAAATAAGATAAGAAATTATTAAAAATGATAAAAAATGATCACATTATTATTATTAACCTAAATAGAAATGACAACAGCATTCTTATTCTCATTCTTATTCTATAAGTTAAATGTTGTTTGTGATTGCATTACCCATAATGCCCTTAAGTATTAAAAATGATAAAAAATGATCACATTGTTATTATTATTAACCAAAATGTAAATACAAATAACAACAGCATTATTATTATTATTATTATTATATAAGTTAAATGTTGTTTGTGATTGCCTTACCCATAATTCCCTTAAGGTAAGTATTAAAAATGATAAAAATGATCACATTGTTATTATTATTAACAAAATGTAAATACAAATAACAACAACAGCATTATTATTATTATTATTATTATTATGTTTTTTTATTGTTGGTGTTGTCATTTTTATTTAAGTTAAATGATGTTGTTTGTGATTGCATTACCCATAATGCCCTTAGTTGGAGCTAGTGTGGTTTGTGCCAGATCTGTAATGTGAGATCCCTAAAGAAAAGTGCATTCATCTCACACTAGAAGTGATGAGGCCTCTCAAATCTTACACCGCATTAATCACATAATGGTTTTCAAGTACGGATTAGCTCATTTTATTGCGTTATCATGGAATCAGAGGATGTGCTTCCCCTGCTCATATTAATAGCGTCTCATGCTTCATTTATCAGCTTCCATATGTTCGCTACAAATCTAAAAATGATACAGCATGCTTCTGAGTGAATGTTTGACCGTATCACCAACTGGAAGCAGCCTAGTGATGATTCATGCTATTCCGTGATGCATGATGATATTAGTGGGACAATGTATCGGGCAGCCTGACAAATGCGAGATTCTCTGCATGGCTTGTGCACTTGATAGCCCAGCTGTTGCCTTTGCCACAGAATTGCAGTTTGTCTGGGGGCCACATGCTGAGGGGCTCCAAAAGCTAACGCTGATGCTTCTATGCTTGTAGATTGCCATCGTTTTGACCATATTTTGTAACATGAAGCAATGTTTTCTTTGTGTGACTGTGTGCGGATGTGTGCAAATGTCTCTCACACTTCACATGGCCGAGGTACGCCTTGGTAAATTTGGTATTCTTCGCCCATCAAAGACTGTATTATATGAGTATGCCTGACACAGATGGCTAAGAATGGTAATTGGAAGTAAATAAATATGCACAATGGGCGGCAAACCGACCGATTCTATCCTCAATCACGGACGACAAGGCTGCCAGCGGTTGAACTCGCAATTTTGGCAGAGAATAGAAAGTGCGCGGGGGGACGCCGAGGGCTCCATCATGACTGATTACGGGATCGCTGCATCTCACATCTTTGATGAAATTGCTGCGGTTTGTTTTGGCCGGGGTGAAGATACACATCGAGAATGAAGGCCGTAATGAATGCATCCCCGAACACAGACTCCTCTGGGAAAGTGAAGTGCTCGGCTCCGAAATGCTTTTCAAATATTCATCCAGTCAAAGGTTTCACTAGGTGCCGCAGTCATATCTGGCTCCATTCACACCGCAATAACAGGAACATGAAGCTGCAATATTTGACTTTCTCCAAACAGCTGGTTTAGGGGGCAGCCCTGGGATTCGTGGGCTGAATTGGTGATTAAGATTAGACCTCGCACAGCCGAAATTAGATTCCCCACTCATAACACCCTAATCATCTAGAGTTAACAAGATCTCAAGCTGAGGATGAATTTTGATGAAGTTCCTTCCTGTGTGGTGAAATATCTGAAGGATAAAGGCGTCGGGACATCTTGGACTGTAATCTCTCTCTCATTCTCTCTCTAAAAGCTGGATTTTAAAGGAAAGTTGCAGGTTCAATACAAGTTAAGCTCTATCAACGGCTTTCATGGCATAATGTGGATTACCACAGAAGATCATTTCGACTCGTGCCTCAGGTTAAAAAAAGAGCAAAAATCATAGTTACACTGCAAGTCCATAAGGACAGGCAGTCTACATTAAAACATGTATATTATCGGTTTAAAAATTAGGGGTTAGTATTTTTTTTTTCTTCAGTTGGTCAAAAGTGACAATGAAGTTAAATTTTTTTTTTTTAATCCATCAAAGAATCATCAAAGAACAAAAATATTAAGCAGCACAACTGTTTTCAGCACTGATAATAAAAAGAAATGTTTCTTGAGCAGCAAACCAGCATGATTTCTGAAGGATCGTGTGACACTAAAGTCAAGTCAAGTCAAGTCAAGTTTATTTGTACAGCGCTTTTCACGATACAAATCATTGCAAAGCAACTTCGTCTCCGTCTGCCGCAGCTTGGTGTCGTTAACCCCCGCTTGAAGCACGACCGCTCCGGGGCTCTCCTCGCCCTTCAGGATCGCGGGTACCTGCGCAGAAACATTGAGAACAGGAGCACCAGGGAAACAGTGAGTGTGCACTTTACCTTCAGCTAACGTAGCACGGACGTGCCGGACGATGGAGTCTCCGATGATCACAGCGTCGCGTTCCGTCTCGCGGAGGGGAGCGAAGCGGTTCCGGGTGGAGATCTCGAAGACTGGAGGCGGCGGAGGGGGAGAGGTCGTCGCCCGGGGCCTGGCTCGCGTCTTCCGTGGGGGATGCACCCAGGGTACGTGGTGTCCCGGCGCCGGAGTGAAGGACATCTGAGAAGATCGCGTTCTGGGTGCACCGGGCCTGTGCAGAGAAACACACGGTGTAGAGGTGGTGGGAGAATTAGCAGCGCGCTGTATACTTACCTCGGACTTGTGAGCGTCAGCCTGGGATGTTTCCAGCACGGCTCTCCGCTCGCTCAGCTGGTTCTGCCTCTCCACCAGCTCGCGGATCTGCTTCTCCACGGCCTCCAGCTGTCCTCACGTGCTGTCCTCACCTGCACTCAAAGGTAGACACACATCCGCCATTAAAGCAAGTAACAGTGAGTAAAACAATGGTAATGTGTGTGAATAGAGTATTAGTAATGTAAGCGAGATTAGCGGCAACCACGCTGGCAATGCTAGCGGGCTATTTGCTAATAGCGGACTCGGGAAATCAAAATAAAACTAGTGATAACAAGGCGCTCTGATTGTTTTTGTTGTAGAATACGATAGGGGATATATTCACACGTTATAGAAACGAAAATTATGGTATATAAAATTGATTTTAAACTAAAAAAAAAAATTGACGATAAAGAATTAACTTGACGGAGCTCAAACTCAAAAAACACGGCAGAAACAAACAGGAAGTTTAACTTTCCTGGAAAGTTAAACTTTCTAAAGAAAGGAGTAATGATGCTGAAAACTCTGCTTTGCATCACAGAAATCAATTACATTTGAAAATATATTAACATAGAAAACAGATATTTTAAATTGCAATAATATTTCACAATACTAATGTTTTTACTGTATTTTTAATCAAATATATGAAGTTTTTGTGTTGCTAAATCAGGTAATAATTTGTGTTAGTGCTTTAACATGAATAAATCCTGAATGTTGACCAGCTTCACTTCATTGAAAATGTTTCACTTTAACTGAGACTTTTCTGCTTGAACAGAAGAATGCGGCTTATCTGAACACCCTTTAATAATCAGAGTTTGGTGAATCCAAATTTGAGCTCCAGTTAATATCAGAACAAGGTAATCATTCAGTTTCATGGTATATATCAAAGTACTGTGGTATCTTTTCAAGAGTAATGTAAGCTGTGGGAGTGGCCATCACTGCTGTTGCCAAAAGCATCAGTTAATTAGAATTAATTGGCCCTCATGAGGATCGGTGAGGTCAGGCAGGACAAGGTGGGTGATGGTATCAGAGAACAGGATCTGCAACACCAACTATACTGTTCCTAAGCTGCTCCTAAAATACCAGCTCAGCAAAGTATTACTCAAATGTGTGAGCATCAGTGGTTCGCAGGGGAGTGAGAAACTGCAAAGAAACCTTTGTTACAGAGGCAGTCCCGCCTGGGCAAGAGAGCATAGAACTAGAGGAGTGCAACTCTGTTTTGTGGACCTTTGAAGACCTTTTTTTTTTTATTTTGGAAACAGTTTGAGCATTGTTGGACAGTGCTCTGATATAGTGTTTTGCACTTTGCAACACATTTAATGAATTATATGAAATATGTACTTTATATGTGTCTAAATATTAAGAAATTCAGATGTTTGGGTTGGGTCTTTTTTAATGTTTTTGAAAGAAATCTCTAATGCTTATAAGCATTAAAAATACAGTAAAAACAGTAATATTGTGAAAATATTATTACAATTTAAAATAACTGTTTTCTATTGTGACCCTGGAGCACAAAACCAGTCTTAAGTCGCTGGGGTATATTTGTAGCAATAGCCAAAAATACATTGTATGGGCCAAAATTATCGATTTTTCTTTTATGCCAAAAATCATTGGGATATTAAGTAAAGATCATGTTCCATGAAGATATTTTATAAATTTCCTACTGTAAATATATCAAAACTTAATTTTTGATTAGTAATATGCATTGCAAAGAACTTCATTTGGACAACTTTAAAGGTGATTTTCTCAGTATTTTGATTTTTTTGCACCCTCAGATTCCAGATTTTCAAATATCTCGGCCAAATATTGTCCTATCCTAACAAACCATACATCAATAGAAAGCTTAATTATTCAGCTTACAGATAATGTATAAATGTCAATTTCAAAAATTGTCATAAAATTGACCCTTATGACTGGTTTTGTGGTCCAGGGTCACATATTTTAAAATGTAATTTATTCTTTGATGCAAAGCTGAATTTTAGCATCGTTACTTCAGTCTTCAGTGTCACATGATCCTTTTGAAGTTATTTGCTGCTCAAGAAACATTTCTTATTATTATAAAATACAGCTGTGCTGCTTAATATTTTTATTTATTTATTTATTTATTGAGGATTCTTTGGTGAATGCAAAGTTTAAAGAACAGTGTTTATTTGAAATGTGTATTTAGTGCCACTTTTGATCAACTGAATGCATAAAAAAAATATTGATTTCTGTAAAAATATATATATATACTGACCCCAAACCTTTGAAAGGTATGCAGGTATGAGGCACTTTACCATCAGCATGTCAAAGATTTTAAGTATAAAATAAATTAATACATAACTAAATAAGACTCTCTCTCTCTCTCTCTCTCTCTCTCTCTCTCTCTCTCTCTATATATATATATATATATATATATATATACTGTATATATTCCATTAATACAGTATGAGAACATGTGAAATGTGAGTGACATAAGGCTTTGTGTATGTGTGATTGTATGTTTTGCATTTGCAATGCTTGTCCATCAGCATGGCTCCCATGTAATGTTTTCATCTCACATTTAGACCAAGCTTCTTTTTTTCCCCTTTTTTTTTTTGTCTGGCCGTTTGTTTTGCAGCTCTCTACGTCTTAACCCGCAGAGTATTCGGGATAAGGTGCCAACCCCAAGGTTAGCACCACATCATATTTCCTTTGCAATCTTCTTGCCTGAGCGTCATTCAGAGCATGCATCCGCTGAATCCTGAGTTCCCGTTTATTTATAGTCCCCCACACGCGCTTCTCCTTTGAGAATATCCTGATATCCTGTGAACACTTCACACCTGGTCCTGCCACCATATGAATATCTGGACCCTCTAGGATATTTGGATATCACTGTTTATATTCACTTATTTGTTTTCTCCCCAAAGTAAACCTCAAAGGACCTCACATCAAGAGTGTTTTTGGTCGTTTTAATACTTTTATTTAGAGCAGGAGAGAGAGAGGACAGGAAATGGAGAATGGAAACAGGAATTTTTGCAAACTTGCATCACCCATAGAGCAGCTAAATGTCATCCATCTATTTTTTTGTGGATAACTTAGAATGGATAACACATGACCAAAGCAAAAACAAGAAGAAGGGGAAAAAATATTTGTTCTGTAAAGAAGATTAAGACATGATTTTGTAGTGGTAGAATTTTTTTAACATGAAAGTTAAATATATTAATAATTAGTGCTGTCAAACGATTAATCGCGATTAATCGCATCCAATAATTTAAATAAATAGATTATATTAAATATTAATAAGTGATATGAGTGAATTATATATGTATTACACACACATTTTTATATAATTTCTTTATTCACGGCTATACATTATTTTTATTTATTTTATTTATATTTAATTTTATTTATTTATTTACATATTTTAGGGTAATTGTAGTGATTTTTTCTGTTTAAGATATATACAATTTAATAAATGGTAATATACACACACTTTTTTTTTTACAGAAAATTAAATAAAAAAATTATATTAAATATTACGAAATGATATGAGTGAATTATATATGTATTGCACACAAACATTTGTATATAATTTATTTATTCATGTCTATAAATTATTTTCTTATTTATTTTATGTCTATTTAGTTTTATTTATTTATTTACATATTTTAGGATGGTAGCTAGTATTTTCTGCTAAAGGTAAATACAATTCAATAAATAAATGATATATATATAGAGAGAGGGGGGGGGGCTCTAGGGTACCCATATATATAGTCATTTTGTCATTTATTTCTTCATTTATTTATTTAATCATTTAGTCATTTATTTATTAATTAATTTATTCATTCATTATTAATTTATAGAATGATCTATATGTATCTAAACAAAGTCAACATTTAAAATCACTCAAATATCTGAGGGTGACATTACAGCTCTGGCACAAACCACTAGGCTAGGGCTTTGCAAGGTTTATTGATTTTTCCTACTCCTACTAGAGAAATCATTATTAGCCTTTCAAATTCCGACTTATTCCGAATCTTATTTTCATCAAATTCACCAATTACTCTTTCTGGCGTATGTCTCTGAAGCTGCCGTCCGCTCATGCGTCATCAGAGCGATGATAGGTATGCTATGCCGAGAATGAAAGTCTCCGGGGATGGAGGAGCACTTGTGCCGAGCGTTTTGAAGCCAGCGGGACCGTTTGATGTGGTTTGTCAATAACGGTTACTTCCCTTGGCCCATTTCGCCTGTGGTTTGCGTTCCAAGTGCCGGCATTCACTGAACCGGACCGCAGCAGATAGATTTCCCTTTAAAGCCCCTTCCTTAAGCTCTTCATTCGTCAGCACTTAAAAATATAACCAATGCCTGTGATCGCACGGCATCCCACCTGGATTAATCCACGATTTCATCACATTTGATAACTGTCTGGCCGGCGAGATAAGGCAGCTGCCCGGATAAACTCTCAATGTCAGAGATCTCTGCCTCTTTCCTTGTTTGTCTCCTGCCAGCTTAGGCTTTACCGCCAAATTAGGGCCCGTGTTTGTCCTTTTGTGTTTTAAACTCAGGGTTTGATCTTACTGCTCAACCTCCATATTGAATAACGCAGGTTAAAACCGAGGTGAACATGTACCTTTGATTAGCTTCCTCAGTCTAATAAGGTAGAATGAGACGGGTTGATTCTTATCGCGCTATTTTTTGCCAGAGTGGGCTAATGCCTTTCTGCCTTCATGCAGTTTGAACAGGATGAAAATAGACGTGTGTCTTTAATCTACTGTACACACCAGCAGGATCTAGTCTTGCATTCACCATCTGGGGTCCAGTGGGTTTTAAATTGAAAAGACCTCAAAGGTTTAAGTCTTAGTCATATTGTCACATGTTTGTGTATTTGTGATGTATTCTTAGCTCCTCTCTCATTGTGAGAATGGCACCAGTGAGGAAAATGAACAGCTCTGATAGGCCTCCATAATTGGAGACTCAATGAAGCTTTGAATGAAAATTAGTCTCAGCTGACTGCAGACTCGGCTATGAACCAGCGCTGAGTGTTCTGCTGTAAGCCTGGTCTGGTCTGGTCTGGTCCAGTCTAATGTCACAGACGTACAGCAGCTGCTGCTTTGTGTTGCAGTGTACAGATCAAACTGTGCACACTCAGTCCCCACAGAATGAGACTGCAAATAAGTCTGGAAAATATGTGCTGCACTCAGGGCCGTTTCTAGGCATAGGTGAGCTAGGCGGTCACCTAGGGCGCCACCAGCTGAAGGGGCGCCAGTGAGCGCACGTACTGGAGGGATTTCGCCTAAGGTGTCAAATTGGCTAGAAACGGCCCTGGCTGCACTGCAGGTGATAAAGTAGTTAGGCTAAATCAGAAACCTTTTTTGAATACACTACCAGTCAAAAATGTTTAATAATTATTTTTTTTTAGTGTTGTTGAAAAAAGGTTGCGTTTATTTAATCAAAAATACAGTAAAAACTGTAATATTGTGAAATATAAATTAGTTTTTGTTGCTTAACATTTTTGTGGAAACTGTGATAAATTATATATATTCAAATAAATTTTTTTTTATTTTATATTGTAATAATATTCCACTATATTACTGCTTTTTTTTTGTTGTTGTTGTTGTTGT